CCCAAAATTACATCCCTTAAATCTAGGTTGTAGTGTATCGGAATTTGTTATGTATCGTGGTTGGTTAGGTAGTGTTGAATTTTAGTTTTTGAAAAAATGAAGCAGTTCAAATATTTTGCTAATAGTAATACATAAGCAGTTGCCTGACAGAAGAGCTCATTTGGAAGGTCACATCATTGTGAGTTTTTCAGCAGTGGGGTGGGTTGTTGCCCCTGAGCCTGAACTAGGTTAGGTGTGCGTGAAATAATTTGCACAGGAAAGTATGTCATTGCTGGAGCAACTGGTGGAGGGGTGTGAATATGGAGTTCATCTTGTCTTGATTTAATTTTTAGTTTATATTAAATTCTGTTACATGTTGTAAAATGACCACTAGTTCAAACATGTTTGTTCTAACCTCAAATAGATATTATCTGAAAATGCAAATTTTATTTACTTCAGAACGAAATCCACCATCTCCTGGTTGGCCTGGAGATCGTTTACGATGGCGAAAAGAGCAGATGGCGTATCGTCCGAGCTCCGAACTTAGCGAGCGTCCACGAGCTGAGATTGAGACAGATGCACATATCGAAGGCAATCTTGCAACAGAAGTCAGTTTTATAATATTGGACACATTGGAAAGGATTGTACAGGTAGAAATACGGTGCATTGACAGTCATGTGACTCCCTTTTATTCTTGCATCGTTTGACGTGTGATTATGTATGTCTTGTTACTTTATAATGCCACTTAACTGAATGCAAGAGTATGCAATGAAAATGGATTAGAGCATTTTCTGTTGCTTCGTATAATTGAAATGTTTGGTAAGCGTAATTGTACGGGGCTTGATGAAAAAGTATGGTGAATGACTGAATACCCAGTTTGTCATTAATCCTCTTTGGGACCAGGGCTGTGGAGTCAGTACACAAAACCTCCGACTTCTTCATAAAAGCTCAATATGTATTTATAATGCTAAACCTACTAAAATGGTAAATGGTACTATAAGACATTTCATCACCACCACGTGAATCATAAGCCTACTTTTTAGACTCGTAACCTATATTTAAGTATAAGTCTAATGGTTATTGCAGAAATCTGTTGATTTGTAGACAGTTTGTATTCTTGAGGTACCGGAGCCAAAGTTACAAATCATTATTGCCACACCATGTGCCTCAACACCTCATTGAATCTCCCTAAGAAATTGTTAAAATAATATTTTCTTAAGATTTTATATCAAGGTCGGAGTCGGTACATTTTTGCTGACTCCACCTAAAATTGCTTCCGACTCCGGAGCCCAGTTTGGAACACATGTACACGTGTTCTACTGAACCTACCAATGTTGGAAACATTTATGGAAGTCTTCTTTTGGAATCACCTGCAGATGGCGTGCCGTGTTGTGGTGACATCATTAACCAAACTGTTTGATCAAGCCTTGTGTGTTTAGTTGAATTCAATGCAACATGACCTGTGGGAGGAGAAGAATGCACATTACACCATTATGCGAAAGAGCACGTCCTAATAGTTTTTCTTTCTTCAAACAAATGATATCTTTTACCAGTAATACGAGGCGCGTCCTCAAAGTAAGTTTCCCTGGGGCCGTTTACAGAAACAAAACACAATTTCATGGAAATATTTATTGCAACAGATACAGCAAGTGTCCAGCTATTTTTCAACATATTCGCCACCGGAATT